TCATTTATAGTATAAAACATTTAAAACTGTCTTATAAAAAATTTTCAAAAATATTTTAAAATTGTTTAAAGACAGACACATAAGGATCATGTTATATAACTCACCTTATAAAACTGTTTAAAAGCATTATAAAATTGTTTAAAAGCTTAATAAACTGTTTAAAACTATTATAAACTGTTTAAAGACATAGACAATGATTAGATTATATAATTCACCATATACAACTGTTTAAAACATTATAAAACTTTTTAATACAGTTTTAAAAGTTTATAAACTGTTTATAGATTGATAATTCTTATAAATTGTTTAAAAATCTTATAAAAATGTCAAAACCCTAGATTAGTGAGAAGAACACCAAGAACAAAATTAACTCATATTGAAATCAAACACATATTGACATATTGAAATCAATTACAAAATCAACCCAGATTTGTTATCAAAATCAAGAACAAAATAAAGCAAAACAAAACAAAACCCAAATTTTTAGATCTAGATCCATATGCTAATCAATCCAAATCAAATTAAAAATTCAGATATGTAACCCAAATCAAATAGAAAACTTAGATTTGTAACACAAATCGAATAAAAACTCAGATGAGTAACATAAATCCGATGTAGATCTGGATAAAAGGAGAGAGATTATGAATCTTTTAGAAATTGTCATTAATGAAAAAGGGAAAGGAACATCTTTGTATTTTTGCTGCTAAAATATGGCATTAATGAAAAGAAGAATGAGACATTAACACGTTGATTAAATGACTTTTGAGTGTGGCATATTTGAAATCCTCCCTAATTTTATTCATATATGCAAATTCTACAAAAAAAAACTATTAATTGATATAGAAAAATTTACTACCCAGAAAATATCATTTGGTCAAGTGATTAAAATCTGTTCTCCGATTTTTTTACGAGAATTTGGTCCAACGAGAGACTTATTTAAAAAGGAAAACGTATTATGCGATCTTTGGTTTGGTTGGTCATAAATTACGCAACAGAAACAAACGTATCGGAAACATCAAACATTTTAGGGAAACGTCACAAAATACCTAACCCCGTATATTAGGAAGAAATAAGTCAGCTGAGCTTGTAGAATTGTTTGGCACCTCAATTTTTGAAACAATATTACAAGCCATCGTTTCTTATTAGATATTACAAAATTATGCAAAATTACAAGGATTGTAACAGTTTACCATATCAGATATTGTTCTACCTTTTTAGAGAATTCGAGTTACCTGTTCATGCCGGCGCATGGTGCAAAACAATCACTTAGGCTTTTATTGGTATATACTGCACAATTGCGAAATGGAGGAAAAACGCAATTCCGCAGATTTTTTGCCAATAAAAAAATGTTACAGAATAGTAGAAAAAAAATTCAAAAACGCAGAATTAGCGTTTTGGCTGAAAAAATACAAAGAAATCTTTCATTAATCAAATAAGTGTGGTATACTTGATTTTTTGTGGGAAAACAATTGAAAAATTAATGAGAATAGTAAATCTTTCAACCATAAATTAGCTCAACTACCATTATACTTGTTTTTTTGTGTCTAAAAGCAATCGAAAAGTAATGATCACACTAATTAATTGTTCAACTTTGAATTATTAGAAGTGAGATTCCACCTATGATTTGGGCTACACATCCTTAAATATTTTTATGTATTATTATGAATGTTTTCAGAAATAAGTAAAAAATAATTGCTCTTTTCAAAATATTTAAAATTTTATTACCATGATTTGGTTTAAATTTCACATTTATAATATTCTTTTATGATATATCAAATAATATCTTAGTAAAAATTCATTTATAAATTTTTGATTTCCGCCATTCCACAAAATTTATCCAATCGCACAATAATTTCATTCCGCAAGTTTTCATTCCTCAGAAAATAAAGTATTCCGCATATTATTATTTTTTCCTGCGAAACGCAATTACACAATGTTACCAATCGAAGCCTAATAAGTATCCCTAATTATCAAAAGAAATTAAAAGTTGTGAAAATAAAAGTAAATAAATGGTATGTTTTACAAACAAAATATTTTCGGATGGCAAAACTTCAAGAGAAATTTCAAAAAATGTCATTTTTCAAGTGCCACTTTACAAAAATGCCACACTTTTAAAATCTTTACAAATATGTCATTTTTTCAAA